AGTTTAACTTGGACGAGGAGAGGCTGCAACACCTGATCTCTCTGCGGGCCGAGCACAGGCATCAGCTGCAACTGAGCTCCAAACGCCACAGTGGAGTCCACACCATTGCCGAGAGCTACAATTTTAGGCAACTGCAAGGAATAGCAAGCAAAGGCCTGTGCCCTGTTTCTGTGCTGCTTCATTTCCAAACCCTGCAAATTCTAACACAGATTCGAGCCACATACTTCAAACTGCTGTTTCTGCAGTGAACATCACAGGACACACACAGAACAGGCAACTTCTGCGTTTTTCCTAAGGAGAAAGCCTAGAGGGCTTCACTGAGCCTGCCTCATCTTCACTGTCTTTGTGAAAAACCCAGAGGAAAGCCAAAAAGAAAAGCTCTGCACTTCAGTGCGGTCGGGCAGTAACGACAGAGGCTTCCCAGCACACAGAGACACCCTGGTGCAACGGAACAGAAAAGCCCAACAGTTAAACAGTGGCCCAAACTGCACCACCTTTGTGAAACCTGGAGGGCATGAGACGGTCACCTAACTGGAAAACCTCAGCACCCCTCACTGGTTGTCTGTGCTCACCCACAGCGATGTTGGCAGCCAGAGGGGCGGCAGGACTCCCCCACTGCAGCTGTGCCTTTGCACAGGCTCTCACTGATCTGCTAACGACAGAGAAACTTCCCTTAACGAAGGCCCTTTTTCCTCCTCCTGCTTGAACTTGAGAATGTAACATGGAAACCAGGGTTAAAACTCCCTGAAAGTCTCTAACAACGCACAAAGGACCTAATATCCATTAAAATACCTTCCCCGGACTTCAGCAGCCATGGCTCTGAACCAGATGCCTCAAACAACTCCCTGTGCTGACCACGTTCCTCATCAGCTGCTGTGCCACGCAGCTCGTGCTTTGAAATTTGGGGGATACTGCCGTTTGGTTTAAACCCCTTAACTGTGAGCAGGACTACCTGCATGGCAGCGATCAGCCTCTGATCAGCAATTCCCTCGTGCCTCCAGCGCTCACCGTGGTCACGCTGCCCCATCCTATGCTGCTGTGCCATAAAAAACTGCACAGCTGCGTCCCTGGGATCCCTTCTGCAAACACGTTAATTAGTGGAGGGAGAAAAATATGCTCCAATGTTCATTAGTTATTTAACAACACAAGTTGTGTTTTCCAATATTAATAACACGTTCTGGATAAAGGCCACTGCCAAAATACCGGCTATAAATGGCACTGATGGCTGCCTTCAGCTGGAAGGGCTCTGTGTTTCTGAACAGCTCTCCTACTTCACAATTAGTCATCTACTTCCTTTTTAATTAAAATCGGCATGTTCTGGGAGTTTTAGCTCTTTCCACACAGAGCCTACAGGATGACTTGCATCAGAACAGCAATAAGGCTGAACTAAAACCAATTTAGTTATTTTGGCTTAAGTTTGAGACAGTGAATGCCTGAGAAGCCTGTAAAATATTATATAGTTTCCACACAGTGCACAGAATTCCCCTCTGAAAGGCTTAAACAGCAGTCTCGCCAGGGAAAAGCTGAGCTATGGATACACGGCTTGGCCAGAGACAAGATAAAATACTTCCTTGTGCTGACGGCAGAGAAATGACATTTTACAGGCAGCAGCTTGGGGTCCATAACCTGTCTCTGTTCTGTACCAAACACACTGCAGTGAACGCACCAGTTCCAGGTCAGTCCAGAACACCACCAGCACCAGCCAAGGATGCGACTGAGGCAGGTTTACCTGACGTCTCAGGGACAGAGCGCTGCTGACTGGAGGGGAGCTGGCTTGCACTGAGCAGACTTGAGCTGCTCTTGTTTTTCTGACAAAACCTGCTTTTTCTTCACGTTTCGTCGCTGTTTCTGAACTGAGCGTGTCTCTTCCCAGCCAGACGACACCGCGGTTTGGACAACACCGTGGTTTGTTATCTCAGCAGCACGGCCAGCTCAGAGCAAACACAAAGCTCGTCCAGCCGCTCCAGTCTGCGTCCCCATCCAAACACGTTCTGCTCAGCGCATGGGAGCAGAGCAGTGGACAGAGAAACCTCAGGTCGAGGTAAGTTCTGCCGCAGCCTCAGCACGAGCAGAATTACCCCCTGTGCTCTGCTCTGCCCCCCTGCACGCAGCCCTGGTCCCCAGCCCTCGGGGGTGCCCCTATCCCGTATCCAGGCTCTGAGCACGCTGCTCCACAGGCAGTCGGGTCAGCCCAGCCCTCGTCAGCCTTCCCTTGTTTTGCACCTGTCATGTTGCTGTTGTAATTAAGATTAATTAGTCACTGCCACTCACACAGCTTGTGACATTCAGCCATCAACAACGCGCTCCCAAACCTCACTCGGGCTTTTTAATCCAGCCTGGCTTTCCACCCACACTGTAGGTCTCACAAAACCGAATCCTTCAACAACTAATACAGGAGCAAACCTGTTAAGAGAAGATTTATGGGAGAAGTTTCAAATAATACCATTCATACTCTGTTGTTTAGGCCTATTTTTCAAAAAGATGGAAGAAACCTACTGCAGCGTTATTGATGTACCAGTAACAGATACAACTGAACAAAGGAAACATATCCTCTCAATTTTTCAACACAAGACAGACTTTATATTGCTTTGTTGCTCCTAAACCACAAATAAAATAAATAAAAAAAACCCCAAACAATTGATTCTATGAAACTATAATTCTATGATTGCTACAGGGCAAGAGACAGAAGCAACACAAAGACTTCTACTGAAGTAGAATACTACCATGAAAACCTGCTTGAAGAGCGCTGTCCTGAATCACAGCGTACAATTTCACCTGCAGGCACAGAGACAGCTCTGACACCACGGTGCTCCCCGGGGCAGAGAGTGAAGCCGAGCACGCTTGAGCTGGATGTTGTTATGTGCTCCTCAGCAGAAGGCCACGGCCAGGCATCGCCCAGAGGCCACCAGACCCACGTCAGTGGGTCAGGCTTCAGTCACAAACTGGCCCTGAGCAGAGCTGCTGAGCCATGGGCCTGGTAGAAGTCACCGGGTGACAACTGAACGGGGCCTAAAGGCAACATGGTGTAGAGGGGCTGCAGGTGAGGGCATTACGGACACCAGGGGTTGTGTCGGATCATGCCCAAAACACCCCCACTTACGCTGAAGTGAAGCAGTTACACAGCGTAACTGTGGTACCACACAGCTCGTTGTGGTAGCACCGCTGGGAACTCCTCCTCTGCTGCTGTCAAAACCAGTGAAGAGCAAAGCGTTCCCAGCGAGCAAGAGAACGGACGGGCCGTACCGGGGATGGCGGGGGAGCGAGCCCCCAGTCACCGAAACGTTGGACAGACATTCTGTCCTCAAATGACATCACCTCTGCGCCCCTCGCTGCACAGAGCAGGATCAGCTCCTCACTCACCGTGTACAGCTCGTTGGTGACTTTCAGGAGTTCTTCATGCATCTGCAAGCCAATCTCCTTACTCTGGAAGACAGAAAGAAGAAGAGATGAGACTCCATGGTGCTCACAACACGGATATCTGAAAGGAAAGTACACTTTGGAGCAGAGTAAAACTGTACGGCTTCCAAATGCTCCACGCACACACATCCTGATCCTTTCTCTAGCACGCATTCACAAGAGCGTCTCCACACGCTGAACATCGCTGTGGCAGCTCTTCCCCACCAGGAGGGTAGGGCTACCACACCACATGCCCTGAGCTGTGCTCAGCAGCAGAAGTGCTGCCCTGGAAGCCCTGCGCGGGTTGAGCGCCGGCAGCAGACACCCATGCTCAGCCCAAATGTTCCCAGCACCGCTGCCTCAGGGAGCTCCCATCGCTCCAAGGGCATCAGATCCCAGAGACAGACAGGAGGTGGTGGGGAGGGGGAACGGGGTCCTGCAAACACCCAGTTCAGACCCAGGAAGGAGAACTTAGTGAAGGGATTTCCTCAACTGGCTGATCAAGGGGACACAGAGTACTGCTACGGGACCCTTGGCAGCAGCAGAAGGAACACCTGAAGATGCTGGAAGCAGCGAGGTGATGTTCTCCTCCTTTCCTAAACCAAGTGACCAACCCAATCCCAACAAAGCCCAAGTACTTGCTGCGAGCCCTTCCACCCCTGTGCCCAAGTGGATCCTGGTAATGACCAGCAAAGGCTTTCACATCCATCCCCCAGAGAACAAAACCACAGCAATCCATCCATTCACTGCCCAATCTCGCTGCATTTCTCACATCGCTCTCATGCCTGCAGGGTTTCTCAGCTGCCAGGGGAGGAGAGGGCCTTGGCAGCACCCCTGGCTTCTGGTATCGCTGCTCTCAAATACCCTCTGCCCCTCGGAGACTGGCCCTCCACCAGACCTGCTGTGCAGTGGGGTTAACGAAGCCACGTATGTTTTAATTCCACACACTATTTAAACATGGATCAGCCCTGCAGAATGAGAGGGCCTGTATTTCCCTGTATTTCCAGCCCTTCAGAAACCCTGCCTGACGTCCTGCCTGCGCTGGGCTGAAACACAGCGCCAGGGCTGCCAATCCACATCTGGGCTCCGTTCTCTCCGTTTCTGCACACTAAAGCCAAAACACAGATGGTTTCCTCTTTCAGTCTGCCCGAGACAGTGAAGTCTAAAAGTAAACTAGCGTTTTGATTTCCCTTAATTTTCTACAAATCCTTACAAAAATAAAACGTGTGATGAACACACAAACGCATCCAGCACAGCAAATCCCCGCGCTAGTTCAGAATTGCTGCGTTTTCGTCTGAGGTCGCTGCTTGCCCCTGGGTCACCCAACCTGGGTTTCAGGGACCATGATGAGGAACACTGCACAATTTATTTATCGTGCAAGCGATAAATACAGTCTGGAATTACAGACTGTATCACCTTGCCCTTCCCTGGCAGTACTGATCCGCAGCCTGCAGCCAGCTCCCTGTGTGAATGCAATACGTAACATCCCCCTCATTTTGGGGACCTGTTTCTCATTAAGACAGGCAGAGTGCGCAGAAGCTGGGCCTGCTCCATAGCCACAAGAGAGTTTTACAGCTTGACTTCACCTGTTTTTCACAAAACCTGCATTGCTGGCTGTGGAAGTGGCTCCTGCAGTGTCCACACAGAGCTGGCCAGGGCTAGACTAACTCCCCCATGAAGCTACACAGGAAACGCTTGTGGGCCCACAAATTGCTCGGATTTGCACTCCCCAGACACACAGGATCATCCTCCAACCTGCCTGCATTTGACAGATTTATCGAAGACGTCTGCTGCTGGACTTGCCGTTTGCAGTCAGCTCGGACAGTTCACAGTGCAGACTCGCGGGGCTCCCCAGTTTCGGGTTTTGGTGCACCCAGACCACGAGCCCAGCTTGTCTTCAGTAGCTCACTGTCACTACTCTGACCTGAGTGAACCAAAGTACCTCTCAAAAAGGACAATGTATTACCAAACAGCTACAGCACAGTTATACAATGAAGTTCCTGATTTCACAACCACGACAGCCCAAGCTCAGGAGAGAGCTCGCTGCAGGCCTGGAAACGCGCGGCACCTTCCCCCCCTCACCTCGTCCGCTGAAATCCCGTCATCCCTTTGCACTGGGCCCCTCCTGCCGGGCAGGATGAAGCAGACCCCACGGCCCACCTCCCGCGGCAGGAGCACGGCAGGGGCCTCCACGCAGGGAGGTTTTGTGCGAGCGCAGCGCCGTGCTGAACGCTTTGCTTGGCTGCGGATCCCATCCGCGCCCACGCAGGAACCCAGCGGTTGGCGGCTGCTGCAGATGTGCACGCACGGCTTTCCTGCCGCCCCTGTAATTACACCCCACGTCTCTCTGCAATCTTCTTGGCTCCGAAACATTTATTATAACTTGAAGATGTGTTTAAACTAAGTATAGACACTGCTCTCCACCCCCAAAAAAACCCGAACAACAACAAAAGCCTAAGCCCAGCAAACGAGCAGTCTCTTTCAGATTTCCTCAAATAATTCCATGCTTTTTTGTGCACACTCAGGGAAAACAATGTCCCATCAGCTCGGCTGGGCGGCTGAAGAAGCCCACAGCACAGAGAGCTCTTCTGACCAGAGCTAACAGGACAACCCAGAGACCTGAAGTTTAACCTCAGGTTATTAACAGTCAGAATGGAGTGCAAAGAGCCAAGGAAGAAGCTCAAGAGTAAAGCACTCTGCACCCAGTGACTATCCAGTAATGATCCTTCAGCTGTGAATCAGTGTCAGGGTGTCTGGAAGAGCCCCATCCTCAGCGGCCGCACTGGTGCACGCAGCTCCCAAGGTGCCAAGGAGATGCCAATTGCCAGGAGGCGCTGAGTGCCCCCGGCCCTCTGGAAATCCCGGTCCCTCCCCATCCCGCAGTCCCTGGTCGGTCTCAAAAACTTCACCATGGCTTGCTAACGAGCAGCAGAGCAATTATAAGCACATATCCCTCCCAGACACACCTAGAAGAGGAGTTATTAAAGCCAGGGTCTCCAAACGGGGGTCCCAGGCCCAGAGGCCCCCAGCCTGCAGGAGGTCAGGGTCACACATAACCCTCAGCAGACCCCGTCCCAAACCCAGCCCTGCCCAAAGCAGCGGGGAAGACGGGGTCGCGGTGGGAGCCACGGCCCAAAGGCAGCCACAGCTCCTGCCCCTGCCCTGGCTCTCCTGCACGGCACGAGGGAAGCCCACAGAGCTGCAAATTCCAAACCTAACTTTAGACTGCCAAACAGAACAAGAAGAGGCTCAGCTGTCAGCATTGTTGAGTCACACGGACATGGGGGACCAGAGGTGAGGACCACACTTAAAGACCCACTGCACCAAATACCCTCATCCTGCTGCCAGGCACCAGAGGGGCATCATCAAAAGGCCCCTGGTGTCCACGAGGGCAGCCTCCAACCTGGCGACGCTGGAGCAGAGCAGGGGGAAGCCGAAGGACTCACTGCTCCTCCAAGTCTGCTGCCTCCCCTTTTTGTGACAGAGAAATCACATCTGTGTGCTTCTGGGAGACAACAACGCCAAAGTGTCACTGCAATTCCCTGGCACCATCCGCAAAACCCAAACTCCAGTTCAGCCGCTTGCTTTGTGCCTTCCATTGCTGCTCAAACACAGCTACGTGCTGGGACAGCAATGGCCCCAGTTGAGCAGGTTCAGGACAATTCCCGCCAGTGCAGAGGAAGCAGCAGGAAGCAGCAGCAGGGAGCACTGGCAAGGAAGGACGCTTATTTTGAGACAAAGACAAGAGCTCCCTTCCAGACACCACTTCTTCACCCCACCTCCACCCAGTGCGCTGCAGTACGGGGCATAGTTAACCCACTGCCACAGAACTGAATCAAATCTCACGCAGGGGAACAACGCAGCATGGTTATTTCGGACATAGCAACACGTCTCGGACGTGTGATTTCCTGTATTCTGTACTGGGAAGGAGTGGCAAACTTCATTTCTTCTGCCGCAGCAGGAGGGACAAGGGGACACCACCTGCGTGGCCGAGGGGGCTGGCACGCACCTCTCACCCAGGACACGTTGAGACTCCATGGAGACTCCAACCACAGATCTGGTCCGATCTGTGCAGCCACACATCCCAGCAGCTCCGCTGATTGCCCATTAGCACCGCTGACGCTTGCCTCGCTCATCCCCTGCGCCAGGAACGTGACTCGCGCTGGAAGCTCCAGGGACATTTGCCCAACTGAGCTCTCTTCCCCGGTCAGCAGCGCTGCCGTGTCTGCCGGCACAGGGAGGGAGGACGGCTCTTCATCTGTTCATTGCCATCACGCGGGCCGAGCTGCAGCCTGGGACGCTCACCCGGAGAGCAGGGTCCTTCTTGACCCACTTGGGGTGACTGAAGAAGATGCACCCCAAATTTCAGGTCTTGTACTGACTCAAAGCTGCAGACACAAGGATTTCTTGGCCCATGTGCTCCAGAGGCCTCTGCCCCTGTTTGACCAGCAGCACCATGGCATTTCTGTGCAAAGATCTGTGTTTCTCTCAGCCTGGACATGCAGCTCCTGCTCTCCAGGGCACTGTGTCTGCCTCCAAAACTGCTCTGCAGAAATATATTGCCCTGCTTTGGAGAACGGCAGTTTGTGCCATATCCACCAGAGGACAATTGCCCTCTGTCACCACAGCTACAACAAGTAAATGAAATCGTTACTGGGTCTTTTTATAAAAACATTGGGACATATTTAATATCCCCATGGGCTCCTCCTTCACTGCACAGCCACGGGCAGCACAGCCCCAGCATCACCAATCAAAGACGCTGGTCTGGGGTCTGTGGGCTCACCTCTGGGATGAGAGGGTGACAAGAGCAGGGCTGGGTGTCAGGAAAACACTTGATCTCCACTACTGCTGTCCCCACAGCATCCACACTCATGGGGTGCAGTTGGCACTCTCGACTGCAGCAATAGGTTAAATACTGGATCCTGAAGCACTGCCAGCAGAAAGATGCCCAATTGGTTTAACTGCTGGGATAGAACACGAGAGGGGAAGTTGGATTACAGCTGTGTGAAATCATACAGCTTCAGTGTGCAGGGGTTCAGCTGGACAAGTTCAGAGGGCGAGCCAAGTCCTACCCTGGCGTAAAAATCCTCACGGAGGAGGAGTTTAAAATCCTGGCTGCAGAAAACGTCTCATTTCCACACACCAAACCCCATCAAAACCCCAAACGCCCCCAGCCCCTGCCGAGTCCCCTGCAGCCCCCTGCACCTCACAGCCCGATGCGACCCCCGGGGCGGCAGACGGTGGTTCCCCATTTCACAGCACTCATGATATTAAAAGGAAATGGACACAGAGGAGGGCTTGCGTCTCTCCTGACAGCATCTCTTCCTCGCTTTCAAAGCTAACAAAGGCACCACTAATGAAGCCAAAATGGAAGCGATCCACAAGCGAAGATGGCAAACTCCCCAAGCCAGAAGTCCCCAGCCTGTGCTGAGCCACCGGCCCGCAGCTGTGAGCCACGAGTCCCTTGGCTTCCCTGGGAGCAGAGCCACCAACCCCGAGGTACCGCAGCCATCGGAGGAGCAACCCTGGAAGCTGTCCCATCACCCTGCAGAGCCGTCCCGTCACCAAGCACAGCCGCAGCAGGGACCACAGCCTGCAAAGACAGCCATGTCACCAGCGCAGGACAATCCAGTTTCTCCTCTGGCTGATAACTGACTCCCCCCAAAAGCCCCCCTGCGAGGCAGCCCAAGCCATCGCTGACCTTCAAGCCGGCTCAGTCAAACGTCTCCAACTCAAACACCAACAGCTCCATCCCCACAGCTCCCACCTCCCCTCCCTCTTGGGTCTGGGCAAGACAACAGGCTGTGGCTGGGCACAGCGAGAGGCACTGGAACCACGCAGGGCCCAGCGCCAGGGAGCATCGGTGCTGGTCAGCGGGCAGGGGCAGAACAAACCCCACCGTCCCCTTTCCTGATGAACCACACCTGCGGCTGCCAAGCGAATAAGACGAGGGGAGCAGCAGCTCAGCATCGTTCATCACGCAGCATCTTTCCTGGCAGATGACCACGCACTGACCAATCGCTCCCCAGCGATGCGCATCCCGTACCCCAGATGCGACAGCACCGCTCCTTTGCGGAGATTGTTTACATTTACATAACGAAAGCACGAAACACAAAACCTTCCTGTCCCTCGGTGCACCCGCAGCACGTCACAGCCCATTAATGCATTCTGGATGGGAGGAATTAGAAGTGACATCTCTGGAAAAAAATGTTACCCTCATTTACCATCAAAGAGCAATCTACAGCAAAACCGAACAGCTGAACCACAACTGCGGACGCCTTTAACTCTTCTGGAGCTGGTTTATCTGTCCCACAGCCCAGAGTGGTGCAGGCTCCCAAGGAGGAGAGCTGCAAGGGCATAACTCGGACTCAAAATCAGGACAAAACAGTGCGAGGTGCCTCCTCTGAGCAGTCTCGTCCCTGCTGCAAGGCGGAACCAGGCATCTCAAGAGCCTTTCACCAGGATGCTCTTACTCCCAGCCCCGTGCTACAGCTTCACCCCAAACACTGCTGCCACACAGGAAGCAGTCCCAGGTCCCACTTTGGGCACAGTGTGCAATAGGTTAGGAACAACAAATACCCTGAATATCCCCAAGAGCGTCAGCCTCCCCTTCCACATTAAAGGCTGCCACAAAGCGAGCCTTCTCCAGAACCGCGCGAGTGTCATTTCCAGGGACACACAAGTCCTGCTGCAACGCAAACCTCGAGGGGCAAATGTGCATGAATCGCAGCTCTCGCTGTAAAGCCGCCTTTGGCTGAAAGCAGGCACAGCCTTGTCAGGCTGCAGATGGAGAGAGCGCGGCCTCGCCTCTGCTGGCAGACGATGGGGAGTGGAGAGACAAGGAGCAGCAATTTCTACACAATAAAAGTGGTGTGCCTTAAAAGTTGACATTTACATTCAAAAAAAGAGGAGGAGGGAGAGACAGGAAAAGCAAATAAACAGAAGTAATTCTGCTGAAAGGATGACTTGCTCTATCACCTTGTCCTGGCTGAGGACTGACCTACCACAAGAAAAACACTTCCGACTCTATTTACGCCCTTATGTTGGCTGCACTCATCCTAGGGTTCAAAGTGAGATACACCATTCACAGTCCTAGGAAGGGTAAGAAGGATAATCTTATTATACACCTAAAAGAGGGGCTGAGAGTAAAATGCAAGTGGGAGAGTGATTTTGAGACAGACTCAGAACTGAACTAACAGATATATCCAAGATATGTCCAATTTCCGGAGGCCAGGAGAGCAGGAAAAGGGATGGTGTCCCATCTCAGATCAGCAAATCCAAACCTGCCCTTGTGGTTTAATTTTACATCAGATCTATAAACTGGGGGAAACTGGCCATAAAAATATCACATTAAATCTCCTCTCAAAGTTGAACTAAAATGTCAAGGCAACCGCTGATCTGAGAGCCCTGCCCCTGTCTGCAGAGGCAGGAACCCATCCCCGCGGGCTCACCCCAGTGCTCACCGCAGTTCTGCAGCAACCCCTGCCGAAAACCAGCAATGAAAATTAAGAAAACCTTAACATCCAGGTGAAAGGCTGAGTCCTGGCCCACCCGACTGCGAGACTCTGTCAAGTCTCTGATGCTCATTTTAATTTGGTTGTCATTAATAATTCTGTATCATCAGCAGACTTTGCCATCTTACTATTCATCCTTTTTCCAAATGACTTATTAGAACTCCACTGAAATCCTCCTTCCTTTTGTTCCCTGTCTTTTCACCAGTCATTAATCCAGAAAACCACCACTCATATATTCTTCAGCAGACGTTTTTCCTCAGGAACTACAGCCAGGGACCTTCTCCACAGCCCATACGACACTGAGGGTGCAGTGCCAACTTATTTGCATGATCCCTGCTCCTGGAAATGCCTCCACTGCATTTCTGAGGCACGCATCTTCCCCTCAAAAGCCACAGTGACTCCTCTCGTACCTGCCCACATGCCTGTCACTCTGCTCTTCGCTGAAGCTTCACCCAGCACGGCTGGTTTCAGTCAGATTGCTGATCTGGCCTCTGAGGTCCTCCAGGAGCCTTTAGAAAAGTCACCGTGTTCTCCCCCTTTCCTTCCCCTGGCACTGACATCAGTTTAAGCATCAGGTCACACCTCACTGCGAGTCACTTGACAAGTCTGTACCTCAGGTTCTTTAAAATTCTTGAATAAAAATTACCTGGAAAGACTTGTAAGTGATAGTCCCCTGTATGGATTTGCTCCGCAACATCTAATGACCGTTCAGGTAAGGTTCCTCAGGCTGGTAATACCCCCAGCCCCCAAGAAAATCTCCAGTCTAAGCTTTTCCATAATAAGTACCAAGATACAGTCTGCACAGAAGGCCACAATAAGCTTCTATTTTGGACTCAAGTGCCAGGACGGATCCTCCACGGCTGCTTTGGTTACCTTTTTGAAGAGCCTGATGACGTCCTCGCTGATCTGCGCCAGCCGCACGATGACGTTGTTCATGAAGATGTCGTTCAGGGTGGCGTGGTCCCTGCTCTCTCGCCGGGTCTGCGTCAGAACCAGGTACCAGCAGTTCACGGGGGAAAGCAGGTGCTGATCTTTCCTAGGGAATCGGCAAAAAAACCCCAGAAAGGTCAAGTGAACACATCAAAAAGGCGTGCCATTTTCAAATGAATGCTGTCAGCATATTAACGTGCCTTCCTCCACCACGTGTCTCTGCCAGAACCCAGCACACCCCCAAAAGAGGTGTGTGAGCTCCTCTTGGCTGCCTCCCCGCCCCAGAAACCGCGGCAGCATCCAGCCAAGCCAAGCACGGGCAGCTGAGCCCTCCTCTTCCTGCAGGAAAGGTGGTTAAGTGTCTCTGCCAACACAGGAGCTCACAGTGTAAGCGTTACAAGCAGGGCTTCAGCCAAGCCAAGGAGTTCCCATCCTTTGCCCCAAGCCGCTCTCTCCTGCAGCTTCATCCTTATTTACCAGCCTCCCACGGCTGCCGGTGCAGGACAGCAGCTTTGTGAGCACGAGAGACTGATGCTCTGGTCCTAGCCATGGGCATGGCGCTGTACTTCACTCAACACACACACATATATATACATATATGTATACTGTATGCAGAGATCCATATGTACATGGGACATCAGGCCGCACAGGAGCACACACACCACACCAGATCCCCAGCTACACCCTTCCCAAACCAGGCGCTCTGTACTGAGACGTTCCTGGCAATCCCTTCAGCACTTTGCAAGGGAGAGAGTTTTAATGCTTCCTTGCACTTTGTGCTATTAATACGGCTGTCACTTCCATTCCAGAGAGAGCCCATTTGCCACGCAATCTGTTGTGCCACATTTAGTCCGCTAAACAGTGCTGGAAAAAATGCTTTGAATCCCACATTAACGCGAAGTGTCTGCGCACAACGCGAACGCGTTCATGTATGCTGAATATTTACGATGGGTTTAATCCAATTCACGCTGCAGACAACAAAGGGATTGCCCAGAGCAGCAGCGGGCACCAGACCTGCAGGGTCCTCGGAGCCAGCAGCGTCCTCAGAGCAAACCCAACCCCACTCAGCTCCGCTGTGAGACCCTGCCCAGGGGCACCCCAAGACCCTGTCCGGGGGTGGTCACAGAAACTCTTTTGAGGGGAGTTTCAGGAAACATTTCGCACTTGATCAGGCCTTAACTAATGTTGATGTCTTCCATCTCAACATTGAGAGAAACGTGCACTGCTCCCCATGTACTGCTTTTGGTACCGAGGGCAAATTAATCAGAAGTGAATCAAAGTTTCCAGAAGTGACACAACAGCAAGAAAACATTTCAGGTTGTCCAGCTGGGACACTTCGAGATGAACCCTCTAAATGAGGCACCCCATTTACTCCTCCTCATCCCAGTTGCTGTCCATGGCACCAGGGCAGGTGCATCCCATCTCGCCACTGACTTCACGGAGGGGAAGGCGACTCCAGAAAATCTGTGCGCGTACAGGCGAAACCACCACACGTGACAGCCTGAACGAGTCTGTCAACCCCGAACCGCCAGCACCAGCCCAGCAGCACCACAGCCACCACCACCACGGAGGGCCGGCACAGGCTGCTGCACATGGCTGCACCAGCACAAAGGCAGGGCTGGAGGCACCACGCTCCTTAGGAGGGACAAAAGCCTCATCTGAGTAATGACATTCATGTCCAAGCTGGGGAAGCAGAGTGCAGATGAACCTAACACAGGGCAGGTACAAAGCTGGCTGGAAGGAAAATGTCTGAAGCGGTTCTCTCTCAACACGGAGCAAGACAGCGAGGACTGGGCAGAAGCATGCACTGACTTGAAGCTGACCCTGTGAGCACTGCCCGTACCACCACAGACCACGGGCACTTGTGCCCTGCAGAGGTAGGGAATCCCCATAACCTGTAGGTAATGCACAACACGGAGCATCCTCCCAATACCAACAGCACAGCAGGCACTTGGAGAGCCATGGCACCACTCTCGGCTGATGGGAGAGGCACGTGCAGGCAACATGGGCTCCCTCTGAACCAGGGCCCTTCTCGAGCCCACACCAGCCACCTCCTTCCCCAGAACAGTTATCCCAATGCACAGGAAGAACAGACAGCATCTGATCGGCAAACCACTGTGAGCAAGACACCGCTAAAGCCTTGCTCACTAGAGACCGAGTAAACAGATTAAATGGGACTTAGTAAAATGGAATAAATAGGATTTAGTAATGTGACTGCAGAAATTGCTGCTCTTGCAGCTGAAATGGAAAAAAAAAATCACAAGGGGTTAGAGAAAGAAAGAGGCTGTAAAGGGCCAGGGGCTGGCAAGGGTAAGTGCATCAGACAGGCAAAAATCTCAATTTTCTGGGCAAGGAGCTACACAGTGGCTGCAATCCTTGGCCACTGAATTGACTGACACCAGTTTTAGCTCGAGCAAAACTAACACCGAGTGCTGGAGCCAGCCTCTGCCCGTCATTCTGCACCATTTCACCCCTGGAAGCGCCTGCTTACTTGAACTGGTGCTCTCTGGAGCTGCGGATCTTGGACGAGAAGCGCTCGGCCAGTTTCTCCAGGCTGCGGGAGTACTCCAGCTCAATCTCAGCCTTCCTGCGGAAGAACTCCTGCAGGTCCTGCAGCAGCTGCAGCCGCGACTCCGACTGCTGCTCCAGGCATTTGAACTGCTCCACCAGCTGGGTGCGGATTTCTGCGGGCAGAGAGGAGAAAGCAGGAGGTCAGCACGCACTGCCCAGGAGGGCACGACAGCCCCAGGCTCAAGTCAAGGCTTGCTAAAGCCAGCAGATTTTTATTTTTTTCCAAGCGAGAGCTGCGGAATTTCATTCACTGGTCTCGTATTAAAACCTTGTCCTTTGTCAAAATAAACAGCAGTTACACAGAGCCCGCTGTTTTGAAACTAGAAAATGACACTTCAATTTATCTAGCGCTACCTGAAATCCTGTATTCTTTGCATATAAACTAACACATTACTTCTTGATAAATGATCACAGCTGACAACAGCCTGAAGGAAGCAAACGCGCCCTCCTCTCACCCACATCCCCCAGCTGCAAACCCAGCTTGTCTTTGGCCCAAAACGCCCTTCAGACCCTCCAGATTCATCTCATACAATATCACAGACTTTATAAGCTCCAGGGGCTTTTTTACTTTCTCATATGGCCCTTCAGATGCTGTGACAGCTACGCTACAACCCCTGCAACCTTGGCCAAACGGGAGCTTGAACAAATCCCCGACGCGTGGTTTACCCTGGGGAGATGGGTGAGCCCCAGAGGAGGAGACGCTGCTCATGAAACAAAGCACTGACTGAAATCACAGGCGATTTATGGACAATTTCAAGCTCTTTAAATCTGTGAGGAACCCACATGGAGGAAGTTAAAATCACCATTATAAGGAACCAGCATTTTTTGACATTTCTCCACGGAACAAATTATCCTGCGAGCCCGAGCCACTGGCAGCCCCACAGGTGAACTCAGAGCTGCAGGAACAAGGACACCTGCAGCAATCTCATTACTGGGTAATGTAACCATGGCAGTAATGGCGCTGGAGGCTGCATGAAGGTCACCTAAAAAGCAAAAGCTCCTTGGAAAAGCACTCCAAAGCACTCTGGCTCGTTCCTGCCCTACATCCATCCCCCTGCAGACATGAGGATGGGGCGCAGGAGGCAAAGGGCCGAGAAGGAAGGAAGGAAGAAGAAATTAAATTCTCATTGCAGATGAGGTCTCGGTGTCAGTGTCTTGGTCTGTACGCAGGTCTTTGTCCCCTGCTACATTCCTACAGGACACAAAGGTGCTCACTTCATAACAAAACGTTTTTAAAACCTTCACATTCCCCTGCCGAAGCGTTTCCTTCCCACACAAGGTCAGTGGCAATTTCATTACAGCCCATATGGATTTTACATTCCCACTCCTGCTGGTGCCAACACAGGACTTGCTTTACAGCTCTCTGCTTTCCTGAGCAAGTCTGATACAGATTTTAAAAATAAATAAATAAAAAAGGCACAGATTCGATCTCTAGTTCTCTTTTCATAATGGATTACAACCCAAGGTGGTCTCCAGAACAGCTCTTAACAATACTGGCAACGCGCAGAAATACAAGGAATATCAATAACGCTACTCCAAGCTTTTCCGTTTCCAACCTCTTTTTTTTCCAGATCTGAGCTACTGCTGCTCATTTGATCTCCGTACCTGGCACAAAGAATTCTCCTTAGTTCTTTAGGGGTCATCCAAGGCAGCTCAGACAACAGCAGCAACCACCGGACCACGGAGGCTCCCGTAGCTTTCACCACTGCTGCTCGGAGCAGGGGGATTTGCAGTTTGTGCCCATGGGACCACGGCCTCCACTGCCAGTCTGGGGAGGGTCCTCACCCCTGTGCGCCCACCGTCCCACGGGCGCTGGCTCACCCCAGGGCCCTGGCACCCAGGAGGACTGAGGGGCAGCAGATCCTCACCAGAGGATGAGGATGCTCTGGGTCATCCAAAGGCACATTTTGACCCTCGTCAACAGAATTTCTTTGTTTCCCCCCCACTGCTTTGACACTTTCACATCTCCTAGCAGAAGTTCATTGCAGTGCGCAGAGGCAAGGGACAGCCTTCTCCAGACACAGAGCCCTGACCCCAGAGCCACTTGGCTACGAGCAGTGGCACACACACATTGAGACGGCCACTGACCCCAGAGCTGCGCCTGCATGTTAAATGGAAAAGGTTTGCAGTAGAAAACAAAATTAAGGGCTGCTGGCATCATTAATGCAAAGGCAGAAGCAATAACAGAGAAAACGACATTCTTCAGTGCTCCGGAGGTCTCTGTGAGTCAGCCCCTCGCAAACGCAGGCCCCAGCAGCGCCGGCGGTGTCGCTCCCCTGCTCCCATTGTTACTTTGCTGCTGCGTTTAAGAGGCACCCTCCTTCCAATTAAAATGAACTCGCTCTTAAGTAGCCTTTTCAATCACGACAAAACACAGGCAGGCAGAAAAGCCTTTTCCCGCCCTGGGTGCCTGCTGCCTAGGGAACGGCCAGGAGCCCTGGAGGACGTCCATTTTCTCCAGCCCCAGGGACAGCACAGCCGCCATTTGCTGTTGGACACCCCTGTCCTCCCCCTCTCTCTCTGATCCCGGCCTCACACACCAGATACACAGAGAGGGGGTCCCCTGTCACCCCAAACCCAGGAGGGCCTCTACCAGCACCCAGGGTGCCACCTCAATGGGCGCCAGATGAGAATCCAGACCAAAACCCCTGCCATTTTTACCAGCGCTGTTTGGAAGCCATTTTCTGGGCAGCAGCACCAGCATGAGCTGCATCGGTGCTGTCCATAGCAAGGGAATTAGGAAGCCTTTAATTATAACCATCAACCCAGTGCCAATTACATTTTCCGTGACAGACAAATACCTCTTCAGCGCCTGACCCCAAAACCTTAAACTCGAAGGCAGTGTTGGAAAGGGGAGGGCGCTCAGGGGAAGAGATGCTAATTGCGCTGCTGTAATTGGGGTCATCTCCAGGCGCTGACTGACGAGCCCTGTGGAGAGCCGGCTTTCAGGAACGACTGGGGCAAGCCAAGCACAAAGCACAGGCAAGTGGGGACAAAAAAGTTCACATTTTCTTAGCCTGAAGTCTACAAAAAAGAGCTAAACTGTCACAAACCCGATGTGTGCCATCACTGAAGGATTAACGCTTTCGCTGCTGCTCTCAATGAGTACAGCAGTACCGTTACGGGGGCAGCTTGGCAACTCACACGGCATTGGCAGGCCCTTACTTACACGGAATAAAAATTATTTGGCAAACTAAAAGGAAACCAGATGCCTCCAACAGCATCGGCAACAAGTTGTTCTACCAAAGCTGAGGGTTTCTCAAAGAAATGACACAAACTGGGCTCAGACCTGTTCTTGGTTCAACCAGTGCATGTGTTTTTTTTAATATCCCACATTCAGAGTTTTCCTTGCCAGATTAAAAATAATCTTCTTGCCACAAAGGGCA